GGACTCAGTTGTCAACCTAATAAGTATAACTAAAGCAGTCTAATCCAACAGCCCTGCAAACATTCAGTTGTGATGAAGATTATAATGTGCTGTTTTGCTGAAACTGTTTTAGAGAAGTGCTGACTGAATTTTATCATCATTTTTATGATGTTGTTGAATTACACTGCTTTATGCAGAGAGGTGTATCTAATATTTAGTGTATTGTTGTTGACATATAAAGGAGGGTATCAATGCATTCTAAACACTCAGTGTAAAACACTACAGTCAAACCGCAGCATCCAAACTGACCATGGCATTACCAATTTCAAATGCTGCAATCAGCAACATAACTAGCACAGTTTCACTACAATATATGTGCTTCACTTCATCAGTCTTACCTTCAATACATCAGTAAATCCACTGAGTTTGATGCTCTTCCCATCCAGACGGCTTAGCAAGTTTTTAACCACCATCTTGTTTTCCACCTCCCCCTCAAAGCGGATGAAATCCATAGTGCTTTTGGAGATGCGCAGGGCTGAAAATTGCTCTGGAGCTACCATTGTCTTAACTCTCTCCATTACTTCCCAATTGGAGATGCTCTTGCCTGGCAGCTTGAGCTGGGGCAGCGCAACACTGATGGTCATTTTGGCAATGGGCTTCAGGTACAAGTTGTACTCAGCGGAGAGGCACACTGCCTCTGTAGTATCATGAACAATGGTGGTCATTACTGCAGACAGGCTGAGAAGCAGCAGAAGACAGGAGAGAATGTTAGCACATGTTAAATTACTTTTACTGCTCTCACTTTCCAGTATATTAAAAACAAGTAAACGGCAGTGTACAAACAAAAACGACAGAAATAGTGATTCACAGATTTAAGCTTATGATTCACAATGGCCATTTGCTACTATGCAGAGATCTCCATGCCAAACTCCATTCAACAGTCTGAAAATACAATGCTGTTGATCTCTGCTGTCGATCCTCAGAAAAACCTAGTTTTCTATCTGAAACATCAAAATTAGAAAGACGCATTTAGTTAAACTTTAACTGTTTGATCTGTAATCACCATTACAGAGATATCAACATATTCTGATAGATAACTATCGACACATTTGTTTGATTAGCTAGTTAGCGTGTGTCTCATTAAACCACCAAGATTCAAACAACTAAGTAAGCGTAGAGGACTGCCGTTAAAGTTACATTCAACCTACTCATTGTATCAGCAACGCTATCTTGGACCCATTTACAAACGATTCATCTCATATGAAGCTATGGAAAAGCTTTCTGTTGTTTGCTTGTTAGTTAACCCATAACGTTACTAAACACTATCGAACCATGCCTGTGTGCTAGCTAACGCTCAAAAACTGTCAACTGTAACGTTACTAGCATAACGACAGCAGTAAACTTTACCAGATCTTGAAGTAGGACAAACTCGGTGCTAACTAGCGATAACCCTGATGAAACGAATGATAAATAATGATGCTAATAATTCAGAAACTATGTTGAGCAAAACACTAGCTATTATGTGCAAACTGTTTTGATTTAAAAACAACATTAGCTACTTCTAGCTACTTGCCGGGTAGTTAGCATGAAGTGTCGTGCAACGTTACCTCTATTGGGGTTTTAGCTTTTAACGACCGTGTGAGTACTTCCACATAACGTCATACTAAAGTCAGCTATCACAGTAAATTTAACCGATACCCACCTAACTGCTAGCCTGCTGGTAAAAAAATTACTATACTGATTTAAAGAGAGCCAAACTGCAGAGAAAGAACTTGATCCATGGATGTATTTAGTCACTTCCGCATGCTGTGAACTTTGACCTTAAAAAGAAACAACGTGCACCAGTCTCCCGGTATCAGCCGTGTGGCCTTATTTTAGAAGAGCGACACCATGTGAAGCAATGGGATATGCAGCGTATAAGAAAATATGAAGATACCAATCCACTTTGTCTTTCCTAATTCCACCTTCATCTGAAATAGTATCTTCCAGCTTCTGAACATACCGGATCCAGTTAATCAGCAGTGGGTAGGGTAGGGCTAGCTGGAAAACAAGGACTGGGATTGGCCACCCCTGTTTTAGAGGCACATACTGTAGCTTCACTTTTATATATAATTCCACTAGGTTTAATACCATGTGCAATATTTGAAACTCCTAATTTTACCTGCTACCTTATTCCTGTATCCACAATTTTATCAACTATTTTATATTCTTGGGTATTCTCGTTTTTTGTATTCTTTTGTAATCTTATATTTAGAATAGGTGTTTGTTCTTTTGGCTTTAAAACTCTTTACTCCAGGAGAGCCCTGCACAATAATTCCTATATGCCTAGACTGTCTGTTTATGCATAAATGGCAAATAAAAATCTTGAATCTTGAGTATCCATCATGATAAATTTAAAACTTGAGAAATGTTCAATAAAAATCAAATACCCAAATTCCTCATTTACAAAAGTAGTCGCATTTTTAATTAATTACTTTGTGGAAGCCCCTTTGGCTGCAATACAGCCAATTCTTGGGTAAGTCTACAAGCTTTGCACAGATCCCATTCTTCCTGACAGATCCTCTCAAGTCCTGTCATATAGGATGGGAAGTGTCAGTAAAATGCTATCTTCAAGTCTCTCCACACATGTTCTATGTTTTAAAGTCTGCACTTTGGACAGCCACTCAAAAACAGCCATAGACTTGTCTGAAGCCCTTCCAGAGTTGTTCTGGCTGTGTGCTTCGGGTCATTGTCATGCTGAAGGGTGACCTGTCTGTCATCATATTCCCAGGGCATGTGCTGTCTGTAGCAGGTTTTCTTCAGAGACCTCTGTATTTGGCTGTAGTCATCCTTCTCTCAGTTCTGACCATTTCCCCTGTTCCTGCTGCTGAGAAGTCCCCCGTATGAGGCTGCCACCACCACAAGATGTTGCGTAGCACTTGGTATTCACCAGACTTGGAGTGCTTGGAGTTTTGCCCAAAGAGTTAGATTTTTGTCTCAAAAGAGCATGAGGAAAAGATTCTCTGGTCTGAACTCTAAATAAGCGGTCATATGCATTTTCCTCCAAGCGGCTTCCGTCTATAGCCACTCTAACATAAAAGACAGACTGATGGAGAGCTGCTGAAATGGTTGTCCTTCAGGCAGGGTCTCCCATTTCTGCAGAGGAATTCTGAAGCTCTGCTGAGTGACCATTAAGTTCATAGTCATTGGTCATATTGATTTATTGAATGTAGATTGCAGGACAAAAAGTACTGCACATTAGACTGTGCCAAAAGTGGCCTGAAACTTTCAGAAGCCAGTAGGTAAATACAGATCACTTGTATGTATTCAAAGGCATTTATTTGACTGTAGAATAAAACATCATAAACAGGCATTTTGTATTTTTTTTATAAATAATTAATTTTGATCATCATAGAACTCTATTTTCACTTTGATATTAAAGGGTCTTTTTTGTCAATAAGTGTCTAAAAAGCCACAATAAATCCACTTTGACTCACTGCTGGAAAACAATAAAATAAAATCTGCTGAGGGGGTGAATAACATTTATAGGCACTGCATCTCAGGAGACAAATGAACATAACTAACAGCTGGACATTTGTTACTACCTTGTTGCCTATTTGGCACGGATATTCACTAGTGCTTTGTATGTATGTCATCATCACTGTAGTAACTATTTGGGCTGAAGTGAGAGATGCAGATACATTGGTCCAGCATCAGAATCCACAGGCAAAAATGTTGGCAGAGTTTCCCTGAAAAAAATGGCAGAGGAATTTACATAATACACATTACTCCCCTCACTGTGTATGTAGGCCAGTAGCTGCAGTCAGACAGTCTCTCTGCTCTGTCCAGATCAGATAACAGATAAGCTGCCTAAGGGAACTCTGGAATATACAGGCCCCAGGAAAAAGCTCATCCTTTCAGTGGCCTCTGCAAATCTTTCTTTTACTTGCAGATGAGGGCAAATGGTAAGCATGAACAGTGCCAGGTAGGGAGCTGGATGAACATTAAATACTAAAGAAGTGGGATTGTCAAAGCAGGTAGTTATCTACCAGTCTCAGGTGGTGAGTACATAGACTGTACTGTATCCTTCTCAAACATATGATAGATAACAGCATCCACTGCATTTTGCTTCTCCTTCCTGGTTGACATGGCAAAGATGGCAGGCTCAACTACATAACAAAAAAATAATCAAAACTATGTGTAATATACTGAGGGGCGTGGGGTATGATTTGATTCAATTAAAAATTTAATGATAATGTATGACTAGCTGTGGAATGCTTGTAATTTTTTTACCCCCTTTCTAGCACTGGTTTGATTATATAAAGAACAACCAGATATATTGACTTGTGTTCTGCTAGGCTACCTAATTTACAAAAAAATGTGAAGCTGCTGGTGTATGGAGACCACACAATATAGATTGCTAGACAAAACGATGAGTATTGTGACATTTCTGTATCATGATATATTGAATCTCGGTATATTGTCCAATCCCTACTTACCAGTGCCTTTTGAATGTTCCCAGGACAACTTAAAATGACAGGAGACTGTGCATTTGCTGTCTATACTCTGGAACACTTTGCTTTTCATTATTAAATTATCCAACTCATTAAGCATCAGGATTAAACTAAAAACTCATTTGAAGTATTTGAATTTTGTAATATCTGGGTTTTGTAATTGTGTGGATGCTGAATCAATTTAGATACTACAACTGTCTCCCATGTTGGTTCTCTGCTCTCTCACTTCTAATTTACATGGCATCTTAGAAAACACCGTCAGTGTACATTGTGTAGGAATATGTGGAGTTAGAATAGAGGAAAGGCTAGTTCAGGTGCTAAGCGCTCACAAGACATGACGTACTGCAAAAGGCCAATTTTCACTTTAATAATGAGGTACTGTCCCTGCAGAGCTCAGTTCCTTCCATACAAAGCCTGTTAGATGTGAGACAATTCAGCCCACAGTATAATCTTGCTATAAGAAAGTTAAAGAGTAAAACACAGTAATAATACATTCAATATGGTGTCAACATGTGTACATGACAATCAGGCTTCATAGTATCACTGCTGTCATTGTCATTACAGACAATTGGCAAATTCACCCAAACCTGGTGTCTACAAGCTTCTTTTTTTTTTAAAGAGTCATCTAAGTCATCTGTCTCTGCCAGGCTTCCTCCCAAGAACCCAAACGCACCACTGACTGGTACCGCGTAAACCAGGTAAATACGAAACTGTCTAAAGTATCCCCGCATCAATAACAACGCTTTGCAGGCGTGGGATAAATTCCCCTGCTGGGAGGCCTCCCAACGTTCGGAAAACCTAATATGAAAAGCTAAATTCTACCCTCAATGGGCCTACTTGAAGCGTGAGACTCCCCTTTGAAACTTGGCAGAGTGAGATGACCCAGTTGCCCAACGCTAAAGTACAATAAACTATGTTTAATCAAAATCTGGGCAGTGATAATCTCTATAACAGCACTTAAAGATACAAAGTGCTGTTTATGTTTGGGGAAAAGAGCCCAGTTTATCTAATCTAATGTTTAACTTTATAAAATATCATGTGTGCCACAAAAAGATTTTAAATGTATTCTAACAGATTGAACGAGCACTAGAGAAAGTCAGTGTCCCAAACAGTGGTACAGACAATTAATCTAATGTGTCAGAGTATAAAGTGGGCACAGAGCAACAGGTGGCCTCAGGCCGATCGCAGGCAGAGTTTTATCCCAGTAACCAAAGTAGTGCAGTATGATTAAAATGTCTGACTGATACACTGACTGTATGTGACCCTGGTAAACGGGTGAGAGGCATGAGGAAGTCAAATAGTTAACTAAACTCTGCCCCCTGTAGGACACGAGACTAACGCAGAATAGATGGCCATGTTGGGCAGACAGGCAGTGAGAGAGAGAAAGACAGAGATGGAGAGAGAAGCCCCTTCAATATTTCTTTTATGAGAGTATCTGGATGTGCTACAGCAGCAAAACGGTCCCACATCATGGAGGTTGTCAGATGGTTAGTGACTGAAACTCCTCCACCTGGATGATAGGAGAAGAAAAGACAGATATACTGTAAGTTGCCATGGCAACCATGTTGGACAGAGACGAAAAGCCACATCTTGTCGGTCCTCACCTTATGAGCATCCTGCCATACAGCTACGCCACGGCCAGCACTGCTTGTTGTGGTGTCTCATGTCACACCTGTAGGAGGAACTGAAAGACAGGACTGCCTAAACAAAGTTTAGTGCCTTACCTTTTTATCAGATGTTCATGGCTCCTTTACTTTTATGGACAGACCACAACATGCAAACAAAAGATGAAGAGACAAGTGTGCATGAACAGAAACTGAGACAGACAAACATAAAAAAACAAAGATGTATGTAGATGTGCAGACAAACAAAAGAGTTTGCTGGACAAACACACAGATGGGGTGGGGGTCCCCCTCACTGGCGAGGTGCTTCAGAGGATCCAAGGTTTCAGTCCAGATTTGCACATAATCAACTCCAGAGTAAACAATTCATTCAGCTGCTGCCACCATCTCATCCAAGGTGATGCTGGAGTTAAGTGTAGTTGACTGTGTTTCCCACAGCTGAGGGGGTCTCATCAGGTCAGGACGAGACCGAGTCTCAGTTCCCAGCACCAAACAGTCTGGTGCACAGGTCTATAGTCAGCGTCCTTACTTCTGTTGTCATGGCCCATCTGTATCTGACCATTTTAATCTTATTGCCAATTTAAGATAAAGTATTTTGGAACGTCCCGGATAAGCGGAGGAAAATGGATGGATGGATGGATGGATGGAACATCTGTATTTCTAGATGATTTCTCCGCTTAAAGTATTTTTTTCTATTATGAGAGCTTGAGCCAGTCTGTTGCAGTCAACGCCCGTCACCTCTGGAACTTCTGTCAAATCACTTCAGTGTTATTGAAAGGTCATTTTTGCTAACATTTTTCAATTGTCTTGATCTAATAACAGTTATTTTTCTATTTTGTTTGATTCTAAGGCTTTTAGTAATATAGGTTCTTATTTAAAATTCATTAATGAGCTAATATGCAATTGTCTGAGTTTGAAACTATCCAAAGCACACCAGAACACTAAACCAGGTGCCTCAAAGCCCAAGAGATGAAAATAAAAATTGGAAATAGAAGATAGAGACAGAGGCAGACAGATGCTGCCGCAACAAGGGAAAATAATGAAAATGAGAATTACAGTTTTGTTGATTTCCTGAAAATCAAAGTGTTATTGCAATAACACACATTCAAGCAGATTAGCCAGAAATAGTCATGACACGGGTCATGTTTTTGAGAGAGAACAAGAAAGAAAGTGAAACCAAGAGATCCGACATTTATCTTTTGTAAATGGATGTGCTACATTGACTGAGAATATCTAGGACAAAAATAAAATTGTTGTGGCGCGGCGGCCACCTGGAGGGAGAAGCCAACCAGGTTAAAGAAGTAAGGAAAAGCCACATACCTTTTGTAGATAAATGTTGTAATGATGACCCAATGCATAACATAACAAACCAACAGACTAGTGGTCATCTAACGGATGGATCGACGGGCAGTGATGAAAAATCTTAATGGAAATGTAAATAAATCGTTGCGGTATGGCAACCACCTACAGGAGAACCAACCAGGTTAGAGAAGTAAAGAAAAACCACATACCTTTCATAGATCAGCGTTATCGAAAATCTTCAAACAGCCAGATGGACTGACAACGTGGGAGCGAGCGGTAGAGATCAACCGCACGGCAGATAAAACTGCTAAGAGTTTCTCCTAGGAGTTTTATGTGCCTGGCAGCCTAAATCTATGCCTATTACACAAATCTACTTACAGATGGCCACTTCAGGTCAGACAACATAAAAAAAACAAAAAAATCTAGTCATGGCAGAGCAGCCATGTTGGAAAGACAGTTGGGCATGGAGTGCTAGCAAAAACACCTGAAGTAAACATTCTAGATGTCACAGTAAACTCAGGACATTTAGCAAAGTGACTATAACAAGACCCCTTTAATGAATAAACTAGCACAGGCACGGGGGCTCTGACAAGGGAACCCACAATAAAGTAAAAATAAATTGACTTACAGTTCGTAGATCTACCTGAAAAGAGAATAAAATTAGTTTGACTCAAATGATTCCAAATCTACAAGCCACATGTCATGGAGCAGGAAACAAATTCATTGCAACAGAGATGCAATTCTTCTTTCAGTGTTAAAAAAGGAAAGGCATTTATTTTGAATTTTCTTTTACTCTGTAATGTCAGGATTCAAATAATTAGACCTCATTATTAGGAGAGGGAGGAACGGCCTTTCTTATTGCCCTATGTATCAATATACCACAACATCGGGGGTAGTGAATAACACACACACAAGCACACTTCAAAATGATATATTTTAAACATTACAAATAATTAAGTACCTATAAACAAATTCTATTTGATTGTAATGTGAAGAACATTGTTAAAACTTTCATGCCAATAAAGCCCACTTGAATTGAAAGATTATTGAATTACACTTAAATTATCAAATTTAAAAATTGCATTAAAGAATTATTAAAATTGAGCAAATAAAAATAGCTTGACTCCAATGATTCCAAATCTACAGGCCACATGTCATGGAGCAGGAAACAAATTCATTGTAACAGACAGGGATGTTGAAAAAACGTAGAAGAAATCATCTGGATGTAGATTTAGGTAGATCACATTTCACCTTTCATCCAAGAGGCTTCATCAGTTCTGGCTTAAAGGAAAGAATAAGACCGCACCAAAGTGAATGGCGAGTGGGGATTTTTTTTTTTTTTTTTAGAGAGAGAGAGAGTGTGTCATGATTCTGCCCCATCCACTTCCTGTATCATGTCATGTCATGTTCTGACAATACTTCCCGTCCCCAGCTCGCCCTGACTCCCGAGAACTTTACTTCATCACTCACATTGGTTTCACCTGCTTCTCAATTACCCACACCTGCTGACAACAGTATATAGCAGCTTCTCACCCTGTGGGAAGCTGCCAGATTGTTCTATGCATTGTCTAGACTCTCTAGCCGTTTCTTCCCTAGTGCCTGCTTATTCTGATATTGAGACCCTGCCTGTACTACCGACCAGAGATTCTGTCTTGCCCTCCCTGTTGCCCTGCTGTAGACCTCGACCGTGCACCGAAGCAAGTACTGCTCTCTCCGCCTGATCCCTCCATACTGGTTACTGTTCCAGTTTGACTCTGTTTCTCCCACACCTGAGCTCCCTAAGGACAACAATAAACTCTGTTCTACTGCCTCAGACTACTGGCTTTTTAATTGGGTTCACACCTTCACATTCACGGGAGCTTCGCACACTGCTCCCTGACAGAGAGAGAGAGAGAGAATAGATTAACTATCTAGCTAGATATACAGCACATATCTAGATAACAGTTACACAAGCACACCCTCTTTACCCACGTACCCATGAACCTCTTTACCAATAAACACCAAAACATACTTTGTCAAAGCCCATAATATATTCTGTATTTACACCAATTTGTAGAACACGTCTCATGAATGTAGCAGCACCATTCAAATATTTCATAACACAAAATAATACCATTTCCAGAAAACAGGCGATTCTTTCTTATTAAGCGACAGGATGTCTCTGCTTTTGAACACAAAGTGAACAGTCTACCACTGAGTGAATACTGCCCCAAATAGCCCAGACACCAGGACATAACCTTAATATCAAGTGTGATTTTATGGGTTTTATTTAATCCAGTCATGAATCTACACAGTCTAGATCAAAGAATGAATTTTCAATCTCAGCGTGATTCACATGTCCTCTCTGCTGAGTTTCTGGTTCATAATCTAAAGCTGTGGGCTGCTGGGAGGAGACAGGGTCCACGTTGTCTGACCACGTTGCCGCCTCACAAAATTAACAAAATTTTGAAGTTCAGATCATTCGGATCTTGAGAGGATGCTTGGTCCTGCACCGTCGCCACCTCACAAAATTAACAAAATTTTGAGGTTCAGATCATTCAGATCTTGAGAGGATGCTTGGTCCTGCACATACACATGTGCGCACGCACACAACAGATGCAGAATGAGGACTGGCTGTGACTCTATCGGGTGCAGTGTTACATGTGCAGTGTTACATGAACAGCTTGTGGGCAGGCAGCTGTGGATACGCTGTAAAAGCTTGACCAAAGCTGGCGCAAAGGATCATCAGATCATCAATTATTCAGCACCACCAGACAAGAGCAATCACTTGGTG